GGCAACCCAAATTCTATTAGTTTTACTCCTCTACAATTCGCACCCCGACAGTATTTCTTGGCCACCATCTCGTGTTTGAGAATAGGTATAGAGGGCGCAACTCAAAAGTTTTCTCTGAAGACCTCCGTGATTTATGGCATTGTGAGGTATTTTAATAGATTCTTAGCGTTTCTGCTTTGGGCGCATCTTGGCAATGTTCTGGAAGCCTGGTAGTTGGCCTACCTGGGGTTTCACCAGTGACGGCTCGTACTTGTACATACCTACTACGCAGTAACTACCTAGGTACTAGGTAGGTTATTAAGCTCGGGCGCGCGGGGGCGCCTTCTGTCGTGGCTCCATTCAGGGTCCCCCGATGATCAGGGAGCCAGAGAATAAGGGTCGGGTAGAGCCGTTGATGATTTGGGATAGCCTTGCAGGTCTTTCCCGGTCGTGTACAACAATGCAAGCCCTACTCTCACGCAGCTTTTGATCACCAAGACTAACTTCAAGTCATAACATGACTAGGTGCGAAACTGTTATACCCTAGTATTAATCATGGCCGCGACTCTCGGATTTAAACAGGGCCCATGATGCACTGGTATAGAAGACACCTTTATATACCTCTCATCATCCGTACAGCAACTCGGCGAGGTTCCATGCTCTACGGTGACACTGCTCTATTGTGATCATATATAATCAGCATCTGAGTATTCGCCAAATACATCCTGCTGGCTCAGTAATCATCAAGCCCAGTATTTCGTCCCTTCATCAACTTACCATACTCAAACTGCAATTTTCAACAACGCCAGGTTGTTGATCACCACTCAAAGCGAACAATACATACAATGTATATCATGCAGACCCAATTCATCACATCCGTGCTCCTGATGGCACTATGTGCGCGTGCCATGCCCGTGACCATCACCGGCAGCGGCGCCTCCTCTACGTCAACTTCTTCTTCCCCGGGTACTATCGTCGAGAGCAATGGGACCGACGTCGTGGCTGGCAACGAGAGCAACACCGACGATCCCGGAAAGACCATCTTTGTTCCCGGCAACGACGGGGAGGTCATCATCCCTACAACGGAGGATCCATCTGTCCTCGCACCGGGAGGTATTCCGGTTACGATCACGGGCGGAAGTGATGGTGTGGTTGTCGTCCCCGGTGGCGCGGGCGGGCAGGGAACGGGTAGTGGGACTACCATTGTCAATTGAGGTTGAGCCCTTGTCTGTGGGTGAAAATCAGAAGGCTCGGGGACTTTGTGAAGTGGACGCGTGTGGTCCTGCGTTAACAGTGGATGAAATAGGGAATGTGTGGCCGGTACAGGTCCACGGGTCATTGGTTGGACATAGCCTACCTAATCGGCGAGGGCATTTTTTGCAAGCATGTAGGAATACGTATGTGCCACTGTACGAATCTAGTATTGCAGCCTTGACACGAAAAATTGCAGAAGCTTGGCGCATTGATAAAAAGTCAGCCTTGTTAGCAGGGCGTTTCAATTCCATGCTCTATATTTGCACTGTGAAAAGTACTCTAGAGCTATGGCACATTTCCCATGGTATTCTGTCCCCGTAAGCCCCTTGTGTGAATTGGATACAGCAGCAAAAAGTTACTGATCCCTATTTTACCTAGATCATTGTATTACGAAAGTATAGTAAGCAAGTGGTCTCAATGTATGTTGTGATCTAGTATCGGCAATGCAGTCGAGTGAACCAAACACATCTGAGAAAACGAGTTTCGCTGAGCAATGGTTGCCCAACATAATTCATATCGAGACTTAACGGAAATGACTCCACCAAGCAGGTGTCATTGCGATCTTGTGAATGCAAACGGCTGTACCGAGCTTCCCAGATGCCCTCGACCAAAGTCGCTGTTGAGGCGGGAAGCGCGGCGGAGCGAACTTTAGTAAGCCAGCATACTGTGGTGCGTTGATCGATATCACGGCCATGCTCCTCTACAAATAAGCGAGGGTTCGACTCGCGGTCTGTGTCCCGGCAACCTTCAGCAAATGCACTGTCCAGCGCAGCCTCAACGACGTCGGCTACATCAAGTGTCTCCGCGGCCCGAACAGCAGCAGACAACGTAAGTGTCTGGGTTGAGGTGAGATTGACGGTCCATTTTGTTGGAACACAGGCAGAATTAGGTCTTTCTGTGGTCTGGGTATCGTTTTCAATGCCCCAGAAATCGTAGATTTCTTGCATAGCTGCGGGCTTGCCAAGCGTGGTGTGCTCATCCTCGCCATTTGGAGGGTCAAGAGATGTAAAAGTTGAAGCTGTGTCTGAAGGTAGCAAGCCTCCAGCGAGCAACACTTCAAGGTCATTGAGAACTATGTACCACGATATGATGTTCACGACGAGATGGTAGGCCATCAACAACATATTGAGCGTGCCGTCAGGCAAGACAAAGACAGCTGCAGTCAAGAGCGGTCCGGCGTTGATGTTCAGGACTTACTGTGTCTCGGAAGTGATGCGAGCCACCTTTTCATCCTCTTGGCCACTGTCGCGAGCGCGAGTTACGAAAATGTAGAGAGCCCGACACATCATCGGTAATGAAACACTCTAATGCCAGGCGGAGCACAGCCCATCTTGCCCCTTGGGAATCGCGAGCGCAGAGCTGGGTGATGGGCAACAAACGTGAGAAGATGCGCTTGCAAATCTCCAGCAGACACATCGGCGCTATTGACCCCGAGGAAAACACTTTGGTTGAAATAGGTTGGGCCCCAAGGATAGAAGGAGAAGAACATGCGCTGCGTGGGCATAAGTGGCACACGTCCTCCTGCGTGGACACTGGGCACCGTTTGATGTCGGCGGCTGATTCTTCATCATCCTTGATCTGGTAATTCCTTGGGCCAACTACGCAATGGTGTGGCTTCCCAAGACATGTGAAGGAATGATCGAAACTCCTTTAGCCTTGCATCGTGCCATCCTCTGCATTGCCATGAGAGACTTACCCCCCAGCTGGAGGAAAGTTGGATTACTTGGTACCGACGACATGTCCACCCGGAAAACTTCACCAATCAGGTCCCGCAGTACCTTCTCCAAAGGAATCTGTGGTACGAGACTGGATGAGACGCCATTGGTTGTGCGAGAAAGATGTCGATTGCATGACACGACCTCAAGTTGGCGTCGAATACTAACCCGATCCACCGTGCCAGACGGAAGGTGAGGCATGCTAACCACCGACGCCCAACTTTCCGGCATATGAGATACTGGAAGATGATTTGATAGGTATGCCTTAATCATCACGACCTGTGGGATCTCACCAACAAAGACGCTACCTGCAGCATCTGGAACAAGGCGATCTTGCAGCGGACCTTTTCGTGGGAAGGCAACCACAACATCCCTTACGGAGTCCACGTCTGTATGCGATAGGAGGATACCAGGTGCGGCGTCAAATTGAGTGACATGTACGTTGACTCAAAACGCCGTCATCTTGTCCACTCCGAGGATCTCTTCTGTCCCAGATAGCCGGTCATCAACTTTCCACTCTCACTTTACAACCTCCATCAGAGGATACCTCGAGCTTCTATCCGTCCGAATTGATCGCAAGCCAGTCACACGGCATCAGCTCCTCCTTCGAACCCCAGCGCCACTTGTGGACCTCAATCCCTTGTCTCGTACGTATTTGGTACTCCTTGCCTGGCTCTAACAAATGCAACCCCAAGCACAGGAATTTGTACTTTTGAAATGGCTCGTTGCTACAGGGTTGCGACGACGATGTGCTCGACTGGCTTCGCCTCTCTTGACCGAATGGTCGAAAATTCAAGTTGTGGACCTCATACGGCACTCCCGGCTCCAATGTCACGAAGTCATCGGCGTGTTCAGGATCGAGTAGCATGGTCCGCCCAGACCGCGCGCAGTGATCCACGAAGAAGTCGTATATCTTCTCACCATTCGACACTCCGTAGATTTGGAACGCGTTGGCTGCTGTGAAGAGAGAATTTGTGTATTTGGAGATTGTGTCAGCACGCGTCACGCCGATTAAGGTGAGTGTTAGTGTAAGATGAGGATCTGATTCGGATGAGAACGACAACACCGGGAGGATCTGTATTTCTGCCACGAGCTGCGGCGTCGAAGACATGACAATCTAGGCTTCCAAATGGCTTCACAAATGTTCGTCGTAGGTTAGCAGATGTGACATCTGTCGTGTGGCGCGGTAGATATGGTGTCAGAGTTGCAAGGACAGGTAAACTACATACCCGGTCAGGCTCCAGCTACTTCTCAGGTTGCCTGCGAAGATCTGTCAAGAAGAAAAGTGAGGTCTTGGACGCTGATGGGTAGCTTTCATGTCTCTTACTATTCAGAGTGTTATAGCAAGTTGCGTACGTGAGACCAAGCACTAATAAGACTTCCAAGGTTGGTTTTCTGGATTACTATGTACCTATGAGATAGTCAGCCTCGTTGGCCCCCACATCAGGTAACTGCACGTTGGGCTTACAGCTGCGCCATCGCCGACCCGTAGAGCCTCAGGCAGCCTCTAGTATGTTCCGAAAGCTGCCAAAAATTTGTGACTCACTCGGCTGTATATATACCCAATCTTGAGCTGGCCTGGATCCTAGAGGCAAAGAGTAAGACGGCACTCCACAGTCGTGTCAAACGACGAGAGAGATTCTCATCCCCTCATTAAGTAACATTGGCATTTCTTAATTCTCAGGACGGTGACTGAGTACCGTTCTATCGAATCAGGCCACCCCCCTCCCCCCCAAAGTTTCTCCCAAATAGTCTGATTGCATGGGTTCAGTCACGATTCTCTAAGGTTGTCCGTACATCTCCATGATGTCTCGTCGTGAACCTTGAAGGAGATGGCTCGATGTATACAGAACTAGGTTGACTGTGGCTGTCTTTGTGCTATAGAACTGATCGACTGAACAGGAAATGCCAGGTAAAATCTGAAGCTGTTCTGAGCAAAAAGAACCTTAGGTCACACAATCTTCCCCAGGCGGTGCTCTCGACCCAAAAATGTGAATCACGTTGCCCACAGTCAGCTAATACATGTGTTAGTTTTGTATACCAAAGAGATCTAGATCACAGACAGGACTGACACTTGAACTGACGACCTTCGCATTACGAGTGCGACGCTCTACCTCTGAGCCATGCGGGCTGTGTTAAGTTTTCACCGCCTCCAGTTCAATAGACTATAAAGTTGACGACATCTTCAAGCCTGGCCTCCAGGGATGTGACTCCTCGTTGCATGCTTCACATAAACCAAACTATTCAATCCTAGACATCTGAAGTATATGAGACAAGACTCTTTTCGCACATTCATATAGAGAAAGACAGGGCGCTCATCTGGGTTACCCAACCGTGCCGTCTGGTCACAGTATTCGATTGTGTAGACTTCTTCTTGCCTATCACAAGAGATGATCCTACAAGGGCCAAAGTTCTTGACTTTCTCGTCCAGTATCTGCAGACCTTGACAGTTTGTTATAAAGCAAAGTCTAGCAGCCCAATACACAGACGCACACAATAGCATAAGCGGAATCGAAGACTTAATTGCCGAAATGACCCGGGACAATTGGAAGTAGATGATGTATGAGATCGCATTCCAACACAACATCCGGAAGACTTCCTCAAGCCTCTTTGTCACGGGCTCAAGGAGCTTGCTATAAATGAGCGAGCCAACTCGCTGCTGAGTACTATAGTCATGTGTGAGACTAATTAATGTCCTTTCCTAGTAAACCGGGCCTTTGCATAACATTGGTAGACATACCTCCAGTTTGCCATAGAACCGTTCTTCTTAGAGCGCTGAACTCTAAGCTTGAATAGATGAGTTGTGGGGAATGGGTGGAAGTGTTGTTATACTAAACAAGCCACAGCAGACTTGTCACCGGATCCGGCATTGGAAACGCTTCTCTCGTAGAATAGACCAATTACAGTGGCTCGTGTGTGGGAACGCGTGGCATTGGGATTCCTAGTATCAGGCCTAGAGCGGCAACGAGGCTCGAGTGTATTGCTTTAATTCTGGGCCTGATATAGCATCTTGTCTTTCTTTTATCTTGACTGGACGTGATGTGCTGCTTGCAGGAAACACTACTCAGGCGTTGCGGCTGAATCGACGATCAGTCAACGCTACACGCTTGCAGCCGGGCAGTCTCCAAAAAGCGCTGAATGGAGTGGTCAAGAAAGACGACTAGTTTAGCTCTGGGTCATCCACACACTTCACTATCGACAATGTATCAGGCGAAGGGGGCCATACCTAGCGAGGGTTGTCAATGAAGGGTCAATACAAATACGCAGAATATTTCTTCACTCAACAGAATATCAATCTGAGTGATCCATCTAATCTTTGTACGGTACTCAGGCACTGCAAGAGAGTCATCATGGCGACTCTTGGCTTTCAACCTCAACAACACCATCATTTTTCGGGCGAAACCGTGCAGAGTCCCACGCACGACCAAGCTCTTCAGTATGAGAATCAAGTCATCCACACCCACTCACTTGGCCACTGGCTGCCCAAGAACCGTCATGTGATAGCCTCTTGGGTGGCCAAGAAAGCAGAAGAATGTAAAAATACCAATGATGCGCTTGATCCGAGCCTCGAGGTGTTCCAGAAACTTGTCAACGGGGACCCGAAGCTTCAAAAGCTTGCTAACGACATGTTCACTGAGGCCTCGACGCACTATCCCCAGGACCCCGTGGGCAACTGTGCAATCCAGAACTTCGAGCAGTTTCTCTACGCAACCAATAACATCATCAAGTCAGGCCCGCAATGGTACGACAAGAAGCAGCCGGCAACAGCTATGGGCATGATTGGCTTTCCTATCAATGCGCTTCTGGATTGGCCCATGGGGACTGCTTCGGGTTACGAGTTCTGGCTCCTTCCAGAAGTCAACGTTGCAATGAGCAGAGTTCTTAAGACCTGGGGGAAATTCTTGGTCTCTCCAGCTTCGACCAGCTGCCTCAACCAGCAGAATGGGTGGCTATCGCAGGATGCTCAAGGCCAGCTCGCGATCAAGGCTAACGATGGGGCCACAGGCTACAGCTTCCAACAATTGTTCTTATGTGACCCGACGGCTCCAAACTACGGATTCAATTCCTGGGACGCGTTCTTTGTACGCGAATTTCGCGAGGGCATGCGGCCCATCGAATTTCCCGAAGAGAGTCGCGTCATTACCAATGCTTGCGAGTCAGCACCTCTGCAGGTTCGAACGGATGTGAAGCTCTCTGATTTGTTCTTCTTGAAAGACCAGCCGTACTCTCTGCTTAACATGCTCAACATGAACAACAACATGGCCCAGCAATTCGTTGGTGGCACCGTCTATCAGGCCTTCTTGAGCGCCATGAGCTATCATCGCTGGCATGCACCCGTCAGCGGCGTTGTTAAAGGCATTGAAATGGTACCGGGAACGTACTATAGTGAGAACTGGTTCGAGGGTCTGGCTGGTGCGCAAGATCCGGACAAGCCCGACCCTGCCGCCCCAAACTACTCTCAGCCCTACATCAGTGCCGTCGCCACGAGGGGTATCATTTATATCGAAGCGAACGACCCCAAGATTGGTTTGATGGCTATTGTCTTCATTGGAATGGCAGAGGTGTCTAGTTGCGAGTTTACTGTTGGAATAGGTGACGCGGTCCATAAGGGGCAGCAGATTGGAATGTTTCATTTTGGCGGCAGTTCTCACTGCATGTTGTATCGTCCAGGCGTGAATCTCGGGTTTGTCCACCCACCCCCTTGGAACATGGACACAGAAGAAAATTTTCGTGTCGGGAGTGCACTCGCTATGGTCTTGTAGGGTCATATGTAGACAGAACTGGTCATGGAACTTGTTGCCGGGGCAACTTTTGTGGAATCCTGATTCTTTGCTATACATGCAGTGCTTCATGGACTATTATCCTGTTACATTGAAGTTGTAAACTAACAAACGAAGTTATGCAAAGTTAAGCTGCACGAAGACATATCTCCTGAGTCTCGCTTAATAGCAAGCGATGACTCAAGGATACCAGTCATTGCACCGTGTGACGGTAGTGCGCAGACAAAAATGAGACGCTGTGGTATCTAATGAATCTCATGAGCATCGATCATAAAATAGCCTATAGAACAATCTAGGTGTCGCAGATGAAGAATGTGACTTAGCCAGATCCATTATAGTCGCGCAAGAAATATTGCACCAGACTTTCAGCTCCTGCCGAAGCAGCGAAACGCGGTACGACAACGCAGATACCCGGACACAATTTCTGACAGACACCGTGTAGCTTGAGCCCTGGTGGATAACTTTATTGTCAAGAAACTTCTCGGACTGAGGACGTCATCACATAATAGCTGAGCGAAAGGTACCCCCAGTGAGCCCTGTGATCTCTGGTTGAGTACCTGTGTGAGCTGTGCAAGACGTCTATAAAGTTTGGGAAAGCGCCATATATAGTAAAGCTTTCAGGGAGGCCTACCTGAGTAGAAACCTAAGAAGCAGTCAATCACGTACGAATTCAGTTCCACAAAGCCTCCAATTCTCTATACTCTTCCTCAAAATGAAGTCTTTCTTGACACTTACCGCTGCCCTTCTCGCCACTACCGTATCGTCTCAAAAGCCGTACGGCAGTGGTGGTGGCTCAAGCAGTCCAGTTCCGGTGACTACGAACTGTTCTACACAGTTTTCAATCACCTCATTTAATGCAACCTGTGCCCCAGCCCCTCACAGTGAGGGATGCTCGTGAGTGTTCCTTGGCGAACATAGATTCCCTCCTTTAATTTCATGTTGGCCCTTGTTAACACATTGGTTCAGTTTCAACTTCGAAGTAGCAACCGATACTTCTCCCAGCTCATCAGTCAGCTGCAGCGCCAACTTTGGCGACGCGACTATTCAACTGCCATTGGTTCCCTTCACCTTTTGTACCGGGAGCCATGACATTGTCTGGGGTTGGGCGCCTATTGGACCTCCTAATGGTACTGCTACCAACTACTCCCTCCTTATTACGAACGCAAACATGGGTCTTGCCGCGGCAAAACTTTGGGATGCATCTGACTACCCAATGATCCAGGTCGGGGTGACCAATTATCAGGAATACACCGGGAGCACGAGTTTCACACTGTAGCAACCACTTTGAAGAGCCTTGACATATCACAGGATTGGGACGATTGGTAACATGACTTGATCTGGTGGGAAAGGCTATTCAATGCCTTTCTTGCCCTGGTGTTTTATCACTGCGCAGAGATATTTACTGTCCATGGTTTCAAGTTTTGCAGTCACGGTGCTCGTAAAGTAAGTTATACGCAAGATTGAGCTATGTCAGTGACTGGTATAAAATGCGCAAAGATGTAATTCTCAGATTTCTTTTGGTGTGGAAAGATGCAATGGTATCATTGAGGGGACTACATAGGTAGCCGGCTCTCTAATCACTCGCTCAAAGTCCCTCAACAATTCACAAGGGCCATTAATGGTTTCACTCATACTCTGTCACTAAACATCGCTACTGAAAATGTGGTGACGATAAGATAAACCATTCCTACTGACAGAAGTAATACCTTTAACATAGACAATCAGATGGCTGTTTTGACAATTCAGTAGTGTTTGCGAAACACCAGTCAGTATCACTCCACATTTACAGCTCTGGAAGACACCATCTCATAAATTTGAGAAGAAGTTCAATGTTTCCGAGAACCTTGGAAACACGCCAGTATCAATACCATTCCATCCAAGAGATCATTACAATAATGACATTTTCTCGATTGCAGATATCCTACCAAGATACTCAACCGTGCATAATTAGGAACAAATTGCAGCATCATCCAACTGCTACCGCAAGAGCTGCCACAAGCTACGAAAAGAAATACAGACACCATGTCATTAAATGCTGAAGACTGGAGCTGGACAGTTGGAGACATCAGTCCCCGCCTCGCTGCACTTCTCCGTGATGAAAACCTGTATGCAACTTGGTAAACTCGTAAGCTCATTCTCCTGATTTCGAACCTCACAGGGCATGGTAAATCTATGAGCAAGAGCTCGATCAAATAGGTCTTGCAAATTCATGAACCTAATCCGAAGTCAGCAGCAAAGACAAAAGGAATAATTGACTCAGGGGATGCAGATATACAAAAAGAATGCCAAATCTGTCTCATTTCTTACCATCCTGACGTTTTCCCTTACGAGATTGAGGCCAGTGGCTGCA